CTCTGCACATAAGTCAATCTAGATGTCTTGACAGGTCCACATCCTTTGCAACCAGCAGGCAATTCACCATGTAGTTCTCTCAGTCATCACAAAACCTATTTCTAATAATCGAATCCCCATTATCTAGATAATACTTAGTCCTGCCATGAGTGCAGAGGACTGGACTAGATGACCTCTCAAGGTCCCTTCTAGTCCTATAATTACCTGTCTCTTCCCAATAACTGGGGTTACCTCCCATGGAGTATCCTTAATGTGAGAGGATACCATGTCATCACCTGGAAGGAGGGTCCTAACTCTGGGATTGTTTCCCTCCACTCCAACTTGGTGTTCTCCTTCCCTGAGACTTTCAAGCATGTTCTTGCATGTGGCTCACGAACCTGCTTCCTTGTGATCTGTCTCAAGTTCTGGTATTGCAGAATAGGTGCCAGGCACTACTTTCACTGCTTGTGCGATGTCGTGAAACCCACCAGCAAGGTATACTTCACGACCAGCTGATCATCTCTGTTCACACTCCCCGATCCCGTCACTGAGGAGAAAGTTTGCATTGTTACGTGTATTTCTTTGATATGATCTTCAAATCTTGCTTTGGTAATGGCGTTACCACAGTCTAGATCCAAATTTCTTGCATTTGGACATTCCTTGTGGGCTCTCTCACCAGTTTTCATTGATTCTTCATTTGCACCAACAGCAGGCTATTAACATTTTAGGCCAAGGATAAATGTTCAGTAGCTGATCAGACAGCTCCCCAAAAGTTTTTCACTTGGTAGGGTCTGTGCACACCATTGGCAGAATCCTCGTGACGTCAGTAATAGCTAATGTTGGCTCACAAGATGCTGCTAGCTCAACCATTGATAGATTTTTCTCCAGCCAAGACAATGTGCTGCTCTTTGGGTTCTTTCTTAGGGCTTGTCTACACTACCGCAGGGGGTCGATCTAAGATCACGTAGCTGAAGTTGTGTGAATAGCGTAGCTGAAATCAACATACTTAGATCTACTTATCATGGTGCCTTCACTGTGGCAAGTTGACAGCTGACGCTCTCCCGTCGACTCCGCTTGTGCTTCTTGTTCTGGTGGAGAACTGGAGTCGACGGGAGAGCGATCAGTGGTCGATTTATCGTGTCTATACTTGACGCAATAAATCGACCCCCGCTGGATCGATTGCTACCCCCCAATCCGGCGGGTAGTATAGACAAGCCCTTAGAGTTCCATCCAAGTTGAAGAGGGAAAGTGGAACAGGTGCCAGCTCACACTTCATATCACCCTGGCTACCAACATCTCTGAGCTAGGCAATAACTATCAGCTTGTGGAATATCTGATGATCAATAGCTGTCTCTTGTGCTATCTGCTGCTTCTTTTGTTTAATTGTCTTGTTGAGATTACCAAATGATTTGAGATTAGACCTTTCTATGGGATCAAAGAGATCTACCTCACCCCTTTGCGGCCTACTGGTTACAAACTGCTTCCTTTCTTGTAGGCCATTCTCACTTCTCACGCACAAACTTTCTGCAATTTCAGGTGGGGCCCCAATACACATTGCAATGTTCACACGTGTTCAGGGCTAAAAGGATTTGTCATTCAGTCACAACTTTTCTAATATCTGGGACAGCAGTTTCATCTGCAGCCATGCGCTGTGTGGTAGCTTCTTGGTGGAGTTCTGTTGCTGAAGGCTGCATTCCACACATTTGTTTTGTCATAGCTGTTACAACTGCCTCAAAATGTGCAGTCAGGTAATACTTGGTCAGAGCCTTATCTTTTGTGCAAAGATGATGCTTCCCACAGTCCTTGTTGAGAGATTGCTCGATGGCCATGTCACGCCATATGCCACTGAAGGGTCTGGCAGTCTGATATATTGCTCCTTGGCTATCAGCTAGGACATGATATATAGCTGGCTTCTGCTCCTCCAGAAGTCTGGCTTCTGCTACAGTTACACATCTCCACCTAGCATAATTCACGTGATCACACTACAGATGTCTCAAGTTCCATAGACTTGTTATCATCTCTCTTTGCTGCTATGTAATCCATCAGTAGTTGGGAGAATTCTATTACATAGTTCTCCCAGAACAGAAATGTATCTGAACAGATTGTTCCTTGGGTAACATAAGAGTCCATGAGCTGATTGGGGTCTGTTTATGAAGTCTGCCACAGCATTCTGTGCTTCCACTCTGTCTTCTCTGTGTGCTTTCTCCACAGCGTCAAAGCATGTTCAAGTTTTCTCCAACATGCATCTCTTCTCATCTTCTGGGAGATCATGGAATCGCCAAGTGCCATCCATTTCAAGTGATTCATTGCTTCATTTATAAGTTTGTGGATTTTAATGCTGTCCTTTTTAGTGTATGGCTGACTGAAGCACTATAGTTGCTGGCTTTAACAAAGAGGTCTTCAAATCCAGTTTCCTGCATCATACTGTTTACACCACCCATGAAATTCATTGCATGATGCATGCCTCCCACATCAGGGTGGTCATGGTCAAATTCCTTTTGATTCCTCTATTTAATAATCTGTGCTTTGCAGTAGATTGCTTCATCATACACAACATATGTCCAGTCTTGGTCCAGAGAGCAGAACATAGCCTGAAAATAGTTCATCATGGTATACACTGTATTATCATCATTTGCCAGTGCAGGAACCATTGGACAGTAGCCAATAGTCATAAAATATCAGGCAGAAAATCTTCTCATATAAATCCAGTCGACAATGTAACACATGGTCAAACAAGCTCATGCTGTCATGTGACTACAGACTTTTGCTTTAACCAAAGGCAAAAAAGTAAGGGAAAATGCATAAAAGTTATCACCTGGGGCTAAATATTTCCCAACCAATTCTAGTTTGAGTGTAGAGTTACATTATCAATTGTATTTAGAAGCTTTCTGCCAATTCTGGTCAAAATTACACTATGTTGCTTCAAGTTATTGCTCTTTGTGATTTTATGATTTTTCCAAATTGGCTACCTAATAACATTTAAGCATTAGATGATATAGCAAAACTGACCCTCTTTCCGCAGCTCCATACACCCTGGTGATGAGCACCAGGTATGCACCTAACGTGATAACAATGACACTTTTCTAGCTGACAGGTCACTAATAAGACCCCTTTTTAAATCTGGCTAGTAGACTAAAGATCACCTAGCAGGCAAATGGGTGAGCTAGATGCAGAATCCTCATCCAGCAGGCCATCCACTGGACCATTTGTCTCCCTGCTCCCCACTTACCGCAAGAGACACATGCATGTGAGGTCACTGATAAATAAATGTGAAAGAAAAGAATCAAGGTGCAGGGGGCATTTCCTGCTCAACTGGGACTTTTGTAGCAGTAGGTGCCACCCTGGGCCATGAATCCCCTTACCATGCCCTGCACCAGGAGGAGTCACTTCTAAAAACATTGTTTTGGGGATAGGATGTTACCTCTCATCATGGCACAGTTTAGCTGTGCTATCACTCATCAGACCAAGAGAAATATTTCCTATGAAAAGCCAGCTGCATTTCTGTAGCAACTTGCTTTGGTCACTTGTTTCCTAGGTGAAAGGCTTCGCCATTGCCAAAGTTGGGGGTTGTGACATTCTTCAGGGTCAAGGGTGAAAGTAATAATAAATTCTTACCAGTAGGGGGGCCAGCTCCAGAAGGGGCAGGGCCTCGGGTGGAAGGGGTGGGGCTGGGAGGGGGGTCAGCCTCCCACAGCCAGCCCATCCACGCTGCCTGGCCCCCACCGCCCAGGGCTCCAGCGATGGTTTAAAAGGGCCTGGGGCTCTGGCCACTGCCGCAGTAGCAGCAGCTGGGAGCCCCTGGTCCTTTTAAATTGCCGACCTGGGCGGGGGGGGGCGGGGCCAAAAGGGGCAACGACGTTAAAGCACCCTGCCCCTTTTGCCTCCCCCATCAGTGGCCCTGCCGGTATGGACCCTACCAGCAGGGCCGACAGGGAAGGCAATAGGGGCAGGAATGTTAAAGCGCTGCCTGTAGAGCTTTAATGTGGGCTGCGTATGGGTCGGACTGGCTTCCTACCAGTACGCCATACTGGCTCACTCTCACCAGTCCAGGGTACAATCTGGACTGTTGGACAGCTGCGTCTCCTCAGTTCTCCAACATGGGCTGCCTTTTACACTGCTTTGCTGTGAGAGCAACCACTCCTGGCTTGCACTCATAGCCTCTAGCATGTAAACTATTCCCAGCTGAGTTAGATGAGTGCTCTTCGCTAGCCACTCCTGAATTATACTGCAGAGGGACACAAGAAAATTCCCAGTCCCAGATGTGTCCCCAGAAATGTGCGACTTGCACTGCCCAGCTCTCTCCTTCTTGACAATAAAAGCTCAGAGAAAACACGTCATTTCATTAATAGAAAATGGATATGCACAAATCTTGCTGTCCAAATGGAGTTTCCCCAAACACTTCAATCCAAATACATACTGGGTTAGATAAAACAGGAAAACAAGTTTATTAACTACAGAAAGATTGATTTTAAGTGATTACAAGCAATGAGGCATAAAAGTCAATTGTTTACAAAGAAATAAAAGGTAAAACGCAAACTAATACCTAACCTAACAAGCTAAGTGAACTTAGAGCAAGAAGGTTTCTCTCACGATAGGCTTACAACAGTCTGACTGGATTCCTCCCAAGCCATGACTCCTCCCCAGATTCAGTGATGCTTTCTTTATCTTTCAAACATTGTCGATGCAGTGAGTAGAGATGAGGAGAGGAAGGTGATTTGGGGCCTCTATACCTCATTTTTATATCTTTTCCTCCTCTTTGAAGATCATCTCCAGCTGGAGTTCATGTGACAGCCAGTCTGTTTAGCCCAGCTGTTCCATTGCCAAGATGTAAATTTCTCCCTCACACCTTTCTTACTGCCAAAGAATGGTTGCTTAACTAGGTGATAGTCTATTTGATTGTGCTGAGGTGCTGGCTAGCCTTGGTCTCTGGGCAAATAGTTTGAAGCGTTTTTTCTAAACTTGGAGCATGTCTCAGTAAAGTCACACAGTAGAATCTTATAACTGAACACACAATGTTGCCGCACATATTTTACCAGGACAATAATGTTCAGCCGATTATGACCTTTCAAATGATACCTCACAAGGCATACTTTTACAAAACCATGATCACTCTTGTACAAAGTGGTGAGCATAAGGGTACAGACTGTCACAGGGGGCATTCTCAAGAGCCCTTCAGTTTCACTGCAACAGTTTCCTAATTGAGATGGGGAGCCAGGGTTCTCACCCACGGTCAAAGGCCCCCAACTCCCTCCAGACATGAAAAAAAAAAAATAGTTCTAGTCAAATGATCCAGGCTAGCACCTGAACTGGCACCAGAAGAATCTGCCATTAACTCCCAGTTATTACAAGGGCTTCTTTATTCCATTTATGGACAGGTATTTGTATAGCTTCCTTCCCCATTTGAATCCTCATGTGAATGCTCACAACAGGAATCCAGTACAGCTTAGCTATGGCCACTAGGAACTCCCTTTAACTAGCTGGAAAAGAGGCACATCCGAACCACTAGCACCCAGAAAGGGCAGGTCCCAGCAGAATGCCCTGACCTGGCTGTAAGCCATACTACTACTGTATTGCTGCTTTGCCCTAATACTTGGCCTCCAGAACAGCAGAGAGTCTTCTGCAGTGACAGCAAAGCAGCCACACAAAGGATTGTTTATGGAAAAGTTTTATTGTTAGTACTAAAATCAGATTGCTAAAAGCACTGGCAGTTGAGTCAGAGAACCACACTATGGGGAGGGTGGGCAGGTTGGCACAGCAGCTGAGCCTGTAACCTCAGGGCACTGGTTTCTGGGCAGCCCAGCTCAGGAGTGACTGACTGATGGACTCACTCCACACAACAGCTAAGTGTCTGCACATCCCCTCTGCAGAGGTGAATTTCTGACAGAGCCACCCAGGCTGTCCTACCTTCTGATCCCCACCAGCGCTCAGGCATACGAGCGGGACAGCAAGAAAAAGCTTGCACGCCCGCTGCCGAGAGACTGCACGTGTTTCTGGTAGCAAAGTTGATCCCTTATTCAGACATGCCACTGCCACCCTCCTCCTGAGTTACACGAGATAAAATGCTGCTGATCTGCAAAGCTCAGCCCTCCTGCAGAGCAAGGGTTAGAGACTCTGGAATCAGCCAGGGCAATAAAAACATTTGCAAACTCCGCTCTGTCCTCACTAACTTGGGCCAAACACAGCCTCTGAAGCCAGAGCCATCTCGTGGCTGCGGGCAGGGAGGCTGCAAAGGGCAGCTGAGAGCAGGGAGCAGGGAATGAAGAGCTAGGGTCTTCTGAGGATATTTAACCTGACCCTCAGGAAACAGTTTCAACCTCAGACTTCCCCTACTCGGTGCGTTTCCCACCTCCCTGCCCAGAGCCGCCAGCTCTCAGCTGCAGTCACCAGCGGGTGCCCCGGCAGCTTCCAAGGGGTTCGATACAAAGTCACCCAATTGCTGTGTCCTGGAGCCGCATTTAAAAAGGAATAAAACCCCGTAACTGAGCAGGGAGGCTGACGCCACGGCATCACCTTCTCCATTTCATGGGGCATGGCTCTTGCGTCAGCTGCTTAGAGCCCCGGCAGCAAGCCCCTCTGAGGAAGGATCTAAGAAACAATGCAGCGGGCACGCCCGCTTGAGAGAAGAGTCACCCCAGCAGCTGCTCCCAGCGCGTCTCCCTCAGCACGTGCAGCAGTAGCAAGCGAGCTCCCGTCCGAGTTACCCCAGGCTGGAGCGAGGACAGATGCCGTGCCAGACCAGTCATTCAGCCTTCACCCGCCTGGATCTTGGGGCAGCAGTAGCTGCTCCTAAAAAGACAGGGGAGAAAGTCAGAGCAGTGAGAGGACAAAGTTTGACAGTCAAGTTGCCTGTTCCCTGCAGCAAGGGAAATTCACTTTCTCCCACAGGAAGATTGAAGGGGGCAGGAAGCTACCTCTGCTGCCTGAGAATCCTGGGGGCGCTGGGGGGAGTGCCAATTTCCTAATAGAACTCAGATCTCAGTCCTGGCCAGATCCTCTCCTTCCTCCCATCTACTGCAGCTGGGGTCCTCAGAGCCATCCTCATCACCTCACGATTAACCCTTCTCTCTCTCTCAGTACCCACCCTGCCTTGAGCAGACCAGGCGATTTTAAAGATTTGCATCCTGGTACTTGGAAATTTTGCAGTCAAAGCAGCAGAACTGGGGCCCCAGGACCCTGTGTAAGGTATCTCCTGCCCCAACCCACCAGTCTACTATCCTGGTGTCCATTAAGGAATCACTCGCTGTGGACCCACCATGCCTACGGTCAGTGATCTGGTCACACAACACGTGCACAGAGAATTAGCTTCAGAGTTTCTAACTCCAGTGCCTGGCCAACAATCCTACAGAGCGTGGGTGGTGCATGGGGCTTCCCTTTCCCTGCAGAACACTAGCTCTTTTATTCCACTTTTGAAAAAATGCCAGACTGACCTTGACCAGCATAAGCCATCTGGGCCTATCCCCCTCCCATGCTTATGTTGGAGCCAGTGCAGCATTCTAACCTGTGCTTCTCCGATCAGATGCCTGCCTCTTCCTATCTGCAGCAGGAGCTTCGCTCGTGGGAGACTCTTGACTTGTTGATGCTTTCCTTCTGGACCTGGCGTTTGGCTTTCTTGCTTCATTTGCCTTGACGTTCTTGGCTCCTTGGACGGGCTCTTTCCCCTTCTTCCTGCCAGATCGCTTTGCTACCTTCTCTTGGCTGCTGCTGCCCTTCGAACTTCTCGTAGGCACCGGCTTTGTGACCTAGGCAGATGATTGAAATGTGCGCTCTCAGTCACGGGGAAGCGACTTTAGCTTCTTCTGTATGTTTGGGGATCTCACTAGAAAGTTCAGGGGAACCGGGAGCAAAGGCTGTTGTGGGAAGTGTTGTAGCTGTTCTGGGATCAACCTTCAGATGCACAGTTTTAACCATCTCTTCTATGGAGTTTACTCCACACACCAGCTGGGAGCAAACTGGGGCAAGTTTTAAAACTTAACCTGCCTAAAGTCAGGCACCAAATGTGAAAATTTGGCCTTGTTCTCCCTAAAGTTTTCCACCTCAGGAATGCACATCACCAGCTGTTCATGCAGCCACTACTAACCCTTACAATAAATGCTGAGAGAACATTTGGTGTTGTGCAAGGCAAAGACAGAGCTCACATCACTGGCTTTGGAGCAGAGACTATCTACTACTCTGTCTGTACCGCACCTAGTGCGGTGGGGTTCTTGGCTGGCCCTTAGAAAGAATCATATTTATTCTGATAGTGCCTATGTTACACAGACAGACAGACACAGGTATTTGACAGTCTGCCAGTCAGAGATGTGTAGGGATGTTTGCGGATTTGCACAGTTTAACAACAAAGGGGACTAGATTAGCTGTTTCACTATTAACCCAAACAAAGGCAGTAGTACCAGTAACATATGCCACAGCCTCGGGTCAATAGCAGCTGTATTTTGATTAAACGTTTTGCAGGGATTTAAGCAGTTAAAAAAAGCTGCATTTGTACCCACCCTTAAGATGCTTCCTTTCGCCAAGTCGCACAACTTCCGTTGTTCCAAAGACACCCCTTGGTCAGCATGACCTTGTTAGCGATTTGTCTCTTATTCAAGTAAGAGACATTTGCAGTACATTGCTCACCTTCAAACGTGAGATTAAATAATGTCTGGACAATAGAAGTGTGTTTCTTTAACTCCACCCCTGAGGCCAGTGGATAAGAGTTAGAACTGCTGAACCAGCAGAGACTACTAAAAAATAAAGTAACCTGTTATTCTTATACTGCGTTCGTGTCATCCTGAGATGAGCTTAATGAGAGCGTGGGGTTGAGATCCCAGCTATCAGAATATCTCTGGGATGCTGAGCCTCTCTACAGAGATGTGTGTACAAACGTGTGTACAAACATGCACACACGCACCTAGTGTCAGGATACATGCCAGTAAAGTGTCCATGACTTAGGGGGCTAGTTGAGAGGTGGTATTATCTAGGGTAGTGTTTAGAAGACAAGAGTGCGAGGTTGGGGTCTATTAGTTCTAGTCCCGATTCACCAAATCCTAATGGCAACACATTGGTCCCTCTCTGTTCTAGTTTTCTCATCTGGGAATAATGGGGGGTCTGTGAAGGCTGAGATGGTGTTTAACTTCTTCCATACAAAGATCCAATGAAATGCACAATGGGGCAGCAGGAGAATGACTCTGGGAGTAGAGGGGCCCCCATAAAAACTGAGATACAGGAGATGTCTAGACAAAGGCTCTGTACCTTTGGACTTGGAGGCTCAGGGTCAGCATTCACCCGCAAGCGCCTCTTGCGGGACTTTTCTCCTGCAGGAGAGAATGTTAAGACCACAGTTTAACTCTGGAGGCGAGAAAGGGGCCTGACTGCAGCTGAGTCAGAGGTCTAATCCCCAGCCCTCTTTCCCTCTGGGAAGCCATCCAAGGAAGAAAAGCTCCCCCAGCTGGTCTGGAAGCTTGGAGATGGTTCTGAGAGAGGTTGGACACAGCTGGCCTGGTTTTGGGGACATCTTGCCTGGACTATACATGACCTGAGTGTACTGAGGGTGCTCAGAGTGGGCTGGTTTGCGTAGTTCTCCCTCTACAGAGCAGGTATAGCACAGAGAGGACAGTGCTAGCTTCCCCACGTTCACGTGTAAGGACACTTGTAGGGTACACAGGCCACTTGATACTGGGCTGCCAACAATAATGGGACCCTTGGAGACTCACTATCTCCTTTCACCCGGGCTGCTGAATGGTCACCCAGGGGTAATGATGCATAACCACTACTGGATTCAGGGCAGTGAGCTAGAGTTTGAGAAAAGCATCGCTTGTTTCCTTAACCTTAATAATTCCACAGCAAGTGACGGATCTCCCTGCCTCTCCCAACCCAACCAGAAGCAAGAGAACCCTGCAAAGCATGGAAGAGTAAAGCTGATGTTCACCTTTCGGGGCCATAGGTCCAGGCTCCCCCTGCAAAGGAAGAAAAAGCTTTTAGACAGTGTCCTAGCCCAATCCAAAGGGCAGTTCAAACCCCCATCAGGCATCAAAGGTCTCAGCAATGCTGCCAGACCCTGCAGCAGGGGCACCCGTAAATTAGCCAGAGCAACAGGCAGTGACAGAATGGCATCTTGGAGCAGCAATAGCTCACTCAAAGTAGTGTAAAAGCCCAAATGTTGGCACCCTAGACTTGGTGTTTGTCTCATCCATTTCTTTCCACCGCTCCTCCAAGTTGCCCAGGTGAGCGGGACAGGATTTCTTGAGCACGTCCGGTCTCCTTGCTGGTGAGCGGGAGAGATCTCCGAGTCTCTAAGTTTAAGGATAAGGCCTTTTCTTGTAGCCATATGGTAAGGCCTAAGGCCTTTGTCTGCAGCCATATTGAGAGCAGCAGCCATTAGCTAAGAAGCAGGAAGTCACATCCTCACTTTCTAAATTACATTAAAACAATGTAACATCGGGCTGTTAAGAAGGAGACCCTGTCCTAATAGCACCCACTATCACCAGATAAAGAAACGGATCTTAAGATGGTCAAAGAAAACTTAGTTTGACAGCATTCCGTCTGGCAAGAAATCATTTATCAATAGTTGTGGTTGTGAAATACTCACTTCTTTATTGTTTTGTCTTTATTGTCCCCACTTCCCTATTATTTGTCTGTATTATCTTTGTCTGGTTCTTTGATTGTTTCTGTCTTACATAATTAATTTTGCTAGGTGTAAATTAATTAAGGTAGGGGGTATGATTGGTTAGAGAATTTTGTTACAATATGTTAGGATTGGTTACTAAAATTTTAGTAAAATGATTGGTTACGGTATAGCTTAGCAGGACTCAAATTTCACTATATAAACTGGGGTCCAAAAGGAAGTTCTTGGGAACCAACTCCAGGACACAGCCCCAGGATCAGAGCTGCCAGACCTCAACACACCGCCAATCACACTGTGCAGAAACTGGAGTCCCCCAGATGACCTGATCCTGATTGACCAGCAGGGAAAGTTCATCTGTCTTATTGGGAGTGGTGAGCATTGTATGTGTAGCATGTGCATTCTGTTTTGGTGACTTAATAAATAGAGGTTAAGGATATTACTGTGTAAGGCTCTTTCACTGGTAAAAGACCCTGTAAACCCTCAAAAAGATTAAGCCCGGAGTCCAGAGGGAATGGGTGTTTGCTCTGAGCCTGGAGGAGTAGAGCCTGGAGCCCACGGAGGGGTAAAGTTAGAGTTCCTAAATTAAGAGCGTTACACCTGAGCCGTAGGAACTAGGTAGAGGTGGGTGCTCTAGAGTGTGCAAGTGACAGAGAATTTTGTGCGGGTAACAAAGGGACAGACTTTGTTCTAGGCTTAGCTAATGTTTCCTGTTGATGCAGAGCAGGACGGGCTGGATTCTCTCTCCTGTGGGCCTGGGGCTATTAGATTTTGTGGGGCCCCTGGGGGTTTGGAGTGGGGAATGGGCTCAGGGCTGGAGCAGGGGATTAGGGTGCAGGGTGTAGGCTCTGGCCGGCGGCACAACGGGGCAAAGGCAGGATCCTTGCCTGCCTTGGCTCCACGCTGCTCTGCTCCCAGAGGTGGCTGGCATGTCCAGCTCCTAGGCAGAGGGGCCAGGCTGCTCTGCGCGGTGCACACTGCCCGTGCCTGCAGGTGCTGCCCCCGCAGCTCCCATTGGCCACAGTACCCAACCAATGGGAGCTGCAGAGCTGGTGCGCAGAGATTCCCTGAACACCCCCACCTAGGGGCTGCAGGGGCACATTGGCGAGCTGGCGCTCGCAGCTCCAGGGTGGGGCGCCGAGGCTAGGGGACAGGTGTCCAGCCTGCGGCACCGAGACTTGCTCTGGGCCGGATTAAAAGAAGCAGTGGGCCACACCTGGCACGCAGAGCCCCCCTTAGACCGAAGCCATGGGCTGCAGCCCCTAAAGCCCCTGCATTAGTCCAGCCCTGGGGTAGGCGTCCTGCCGGTCTCCTCTTGCAGCAGGGTCAAGCCCCACGGTAGGGACAGCAATCATGAGTCAAGCCCCGCCAAACGCAAGGCCACCGCGGTTCATACCTGAAACCAGATGGTCCTGCCATTGCCATCACGCAGCGACCTCATGCCAGGGACACAGTAACACTGCAGCCACTCCTCAAAGGCCGCGGCATCATCAGAGGGCTCCGGGCTGTAACCCTTCCCCCCTGGTGGGACACAAAAATGAGCATCAGGGAAAACTCTCAGCTACAGGGTTCCCACTGCAACTCCAGCAGTGAGGGGCTGATCAGCTGTGGGCTTTGCTCTATGCTACAGTGACCCCTGCTGGGGGCAGCAGCAATGCTCAGCTACATCTTTCTGAACCCTTCCAGGGGCTCCCTCTCACGTGTGGGATGGCCTGGAGATGGATTTGCACCTCTCCAGCCTTCACACACGCAGTTTGAAAGCATTCAGCTCTCTGGAGCTTGGTGTTTTTAAGGGAGTGCCTCTATTTCCACACCAGCTGGAGACATCGACTGCTCTGATAAGCCAAGAGGTCGATTTCTCTTGTATCCGGGCTCACTCGTCTTTCCTTTGCATCTCCCCCAATGTCTGCAGCTGTCTGGCTTGCTCACCACAGTCACAGTGCAATGCAGTTAGCTCTGGCGGGGCGGAGGGGTCTGTCTGCTGAAATCCTCAGGGGAAGTCTGGGCAAAACCTACAGCAGGCTGAAGCGGAGGCAGACCCAAAAAGGATGCAAGAGAGGGAAAATAATGGATGGGCCCTGGGGCCTCTCCTCGCTTAGTCCCAGAGACGGAGTCAGGGATACATCCCAGCTGGGACAGGGAGTGAAGTCTGTCCTGTGCAATCAACCGTTGTGTCGGGAACACTGAGCAGGGGGACAGTACATGCACCTGCTCTCTGCTCTTCAGCGAACAGGGCTACCAGGGTCTCTCCTATTATTGACTTTACAGTCAGAAGGGACCATCAGGATCATCTAGTCTGACCTCCTGCACATTGCAGGTCACAGAACCTCACCCACCCACTCCTGTACCTCTGGCTGAGTTACTGACATCCTCAAATCAGGATTTAAAGACTTCAAGTTACAGAGAATCCACCACCGACACTAGTTTAAACCTGGAAGTGAACCGTGCCTCACACTGCAGAGGAAGGCAAAAAATCCCCAGGATCTTGGACAATCTAACCTGGGAGAAAATTCCTTCCTGACCTCAAATATGGTGATCAATTAGATCCTAAGCAAGTGGGCAAGACCCAGCAGGCAGACCCCTGGGAGAGAATTCTCTGTAGTAACGCAGAGCCCTCCCCATCGAGTGTCCCGTCTCTGGCTGCTGGGGATTTTTGCTACTGGCCTATGACAAGAGCTACCCATTGAAATCCGAACAAGTTCTGCGCGATGGAAGTAGCTTTGCAGGAGCCACTGGCACGCCCCACGCAGCACAAAGGGCACATCTGGTGTCATCCTGCCTCTCACGCAAAGGCCCAGCCTCCTCCCACTGGCATTAAATGCCCAGCCCGAGCGTTTTCATACAGCGCCCCTGCTTCCTGCCACCCCAGCAGGGCTCTGTCCCACCCCTCCCCCGTCGCTGAGTGTCTGCCCAGCTGGAGGCAGCAGGGATCCAATCCCAACTTCAACATCTCATTGCACCTCCTCCTGCTGGTGCAGCTGAGTCACCCCCAACGACAGGCTCCATGGCCCGTTGCAGGGCAGGAACCCGGGGCTGTGCTCCCTGAGCTGCCTCCTTACCTATGTGAATGACCTCCATGGGCACCGCATGGCAGAGCTCCAGCAGGTCTGGATTCTCCCGCTTTAACTTCACTTTCTTGCTCAAGGTCAGGTCCGGACTCTGCTGGGTTTGAGAGGAGGAGATTCAAACAGGCAGCCCAGACCCAGCCCAAGCCAACCCTCTCCCATGCAACCCTTCCCCAGCCATCCAGCCCTTCCTCCTCCCAGCAAGGGTAGGCCCAACCCTGCAATCAGCAGGTGCAGACATATCTGAGCCAGCTTGCTAATAGCCACCAGCGTACACACCCCGGGTCCCAGGCAGGTTTGTATTCGGGTGGCTGGCCTGGGCACCACAGCCTCTCTGCTAGTTTTAGCGAGCCAGCGGAATCAAAGGGAGCTTGGCTATGTCGACATGGGCTGCACTTACACCTCTGACTGCGGTGCAGACCCTACTTCAAGCCCCTTTGTAGCTGCTGGTCCCACTCCAAAAACAACCAGCCTAATCCCCTCCCAGCTGTCCAGCCCTTCCTATAAGGCAACTCCTCCACAGCTGCCAAGCCATCCTGCTCCTCGCCCCTCCCCCAGATTTCCCTTACCAGAGCCTAAACCTGCCCTGACATGTGCTCTGACCAACCCAGCTTCCTCTCCCTCCAGGTGCTAAATGCTCCCTGTTTCCAGATGCCAGGCCAAATTCAGCCCTGGCATAAGCAGGGCTAACTCCATAGACTTTGATGCAGTTGCCCCTGCTGAGTGGGAATCTGACCTGCCTCTGTAAAGTACCCACTTGTATACATCAGTCACTTTACCACTCCACACAGGGCTGAATTTAGCCTGGCAGCATCTGAAGGCTAAAGATCTCTTACGGCTGGGACGCATCACTGACTGCGCCACAGGTGTTTGTAACTTAACTGCTGCTAGGGAGACAGGCCGGGGGAGGGGAGGGGAGGGAGAAAGGCCAGTCAGACAAAAACGGTATTTGTTTTTTTCTTTAAATAGCTACTTCCCCTCCAGAGGCCACACAGCACTAGACCAGAATAGTCAGATTTGGAGCCTAAACTACTGTGGTCCTCTTAGTTGTGGGTTATTTTCACAGCGAACTAGGATCTTTGGCCCAGATCCCCAAAAGGTATTTAAACTCCTAACTTCCCTTGAAATCAGTGGAAGTTCGGTGCCTAAATACCTTTGAGTATATTTGAGATTGGTAGGGGGAGGGAATGGCCAAGTGACCGAAATATGCAAGTGGCTACTGTACAAGGCAGAGTGCAGTCCCCCTCAGCAAAGGAGAATGTATACACAACGCAGGAGCCATAGACGTATATGCTATGATAGGCAGTCATGGTCCATCTGGCTCAAGATTTGCAAACAAGTTTTACATGCAGCACTTTTGCAGAGCAACTCCTAGGAGTTAAAGGCACTGGAGGATAAGCAGACATTTGCGTAGCATCTGTCCTCCCAAAGGACCCCAACGTGCTTTATAAACTAACCATACACATGCTGTATATCACACGAGGAAGCGAGTGATTCCTTCATGGAGGAGCCAAATGCAATCACTGTTAAACTGTTAAAGAGCCCACAGCAAGTCTGAGCACGGGGAGGGAAGAATTCCGTCTCCTGCTCAAGCTGTGTGGCTAATTGAGGAGCCAGAATGCAGTCAGCAGAGCTGGGATTTGGCAAGTTCTGGTGCTAACATCCCTGCTTGGACAAGGTGCCAGAGGAGCTTTTAACGACCACATGGGAACAGGCCCTGTCTCACAGCTCTCCAGAAAACCACCCCTCCAAACCCCGTGCTGGGGCATTGCCTGCTCCAGGCCTGACTCAGAGCCAGCTACTAAATGGGCAGCACTATTGTCTGCACAGGTCACCTATCCAAGCCATGCACATAATGATATGGCTGAGCGGGGGGATCTGACAGACTCCAGGCCATGGCAGTGTGGCCGCACGTCATGGGGAGGTAAAGCCTGAAGAATTAAACTGAGAATCCCCCATAAGAAGGGATTTTGTGAGACACAGAACAGGCCCTGAAGTCAGAGTGTCTGGCCTCCTGATTCATGGTGAGGATCCACCTCCAAGACAGCAGCCGCTTCTAACAAGAAGAAAGAGCAACAGGACCCAAACCAGAAACGGTGGAAGTTCTAAGGTTAAAGCTACAACTCGTAACTGGGGCTGCAGATCCTCAGGCGCTACAGGGCGAGCACTGAACCCTGAGTTCTATGTGATGAGCTGGAACATTTCTGTGCACGTGCGTGAGCCTTCTCCACCCTCCTCACCTGCTTCCGATGCTGAAGAGCCTCTAGCACCGTCCGAGCCTTCTCAAAGGGAGGGATCTTTAACCTAGGAGAGTCCATCTGTTACGTGAGGACCCCAACACAAATGCCAGCCAATGCAAATGGAGTCCCGGCCTAAGGGAGGGGAGGAAGATTGCTGACGCAGTGGGTGGAAGCATTGGCTTTTCACCTCTGAAGAGCTGGATGTAATCTACACAGTAAAACATTGGTGCATTCAGACTATGGCACGTGAGCAGGGTGTAATTCAGCTCCCCAGGCAAGGTCCCAGACTGAAAGTGTCACCGCAGGCCAAATTTGAGATGCCCAGCGTATATAGGGCACTCAGGAAAAAAAATAAAGGTCAGGGCTGCGTTGGTAGCGAGTGCACTACAGGAACTGCAAAGTGCTCAAAGCTGAGGTGCACTGGCAGTGCTGTCAGTAGGTGCTTAGCGCTGGAATGGATAAGGGCCGGCTGCATTTCAGCAAGGGAAATGGGTGGCCTCTCAACAGTTTGGACCCTTACATGGTGCTGGTCTCGTAGCTACAGGGATGGGAATCACAAGGTCTGGCTGTCTACTTACTATGTAAAAGGGACCCTATACATACATGAGTACCTCATGCTTCCTAATGAATTTATCCTCCCAACCCCTAAGGCAGTGCTAATATCTCCATTGTACGGATAGGGAAGCTGAGGCACAGAGAGGCTATGGGCTTGTCTCCATAGGGAGTTCAGACCAGTTAACTGAAGCTGTGAAGTTAAGGCACATCAGTGAAAGTGCATCATAAACCCCCATTTGGAGAGGCTCATTCAGAAGTAAAGTGCTCTTAGTTTGCTGTAGCTGAATCCTCCTCGGGGGTTAATGCACTCGAAGTCCCGCACATTAACTTCACAGCTTTAGTTATTTCATCTGAACTTTCCTCAGCGTCCCTGCGTAAAAAAGGCCTGGCTTGAGCCTGGGGTGGAATAGGATATTGGACCCACATCTCCATCGGGCCAGGCCTCCTCCTCTCCGCTCTTCGCCCTGCTCACCTGTAGAGAATCTCGGCTCGGAGGTAGTTGCCAATCCCATTGAAAAACTTCTGATTTAACAGGGCTTCGCAGATGGGCTTGTTGAAAGCCTTGTCAGACAGGTTCCTCAGCACGTTCTCCCTGGAAGACAGCAGGGCCGGTCAGCTAGGGAGGAGGGGCTGGGGAAACGACCACCTCACTCAGCCTGTGATGTGCTTCCAACACAGTAACCAACATGGGAGGTGGGGTTGTTCTCCAGTGGGGTTTTCTGCTGCAGAAGGGTCTGCCTCCAGACACAAGCAGGGAGAAGTAAAACTAAAAATGATGGAGGTTATGGTCTAGCGGGCACAAGTTGAAACCTTGGGGGATGGTTCTTATAGCAAGACTGTAAATATAGATGCAGACAGTCTGTGTAGTAGAGAGGAGGGGGCAGCATTAGACATCAAGAGGCGTTACAATAAAACAGGTAACGATAAAGGTAGCGGCGAAACCCTTTGGGTAAAGGTACAGGGATGACCCGCTGTTTCCTTAGCAGGAGCAGCGCACGGACTTGCAGTTCCAGTGCTGTAAGCTACTTGAATTCAGCCCCGTAGGGAACGGGTTTCCGGAATGCAGCAGTTATCAAGGTATTTGATTGCAGGGAAGCAAATTAAGAAATTGAGTGTGATAAGAGGAAGCATTAAAGACCCACCACAGCATAAAGAAGGCTGGAGGAACAGCAAGAGACATCGCCATTAAGGCACTGAAGGCAGTCTAAGAGTCCTCCGAAACTGATGAATACAAAGAACAAGAAGGAGCCTTTGAAGAGTGGCTTTATGAAGGCCTGCTCTAAGATCTTGACATAGAAGAGCAAAGAGATAAGGGAACACCAACATGTAGAGTCAGGTGAGGCTTGCAGTGGAGAGACAAGGATTCAAGGAATGCTGCCAAAGGGAAATAAATATAAGTGGCCATGCAGAAATGCACTGAAGAGGGAGTAGCTCATTCATCAAAGAGGAGGGGGATGAAATGAACAAAGACTCAATGCCTGAGACTCTGGAATCCTTTTATGCAATCTGCCTTTGACAAGGTGCTCAGGGAATTAACCAACAAACTCACCAAGCCTCTGATGACTGAATGGGATACAATTAGGGAAAGGAAGATTTGAGAATATGAGGGGGGAAAAGATTGGAAGGGAAGCGGTGGAAATCCCGATGTTCAGCAAATTCAAAACTAACCCTGAAAATCCACTAATGAACATACCACATGGTACCTGGACAGGCAGGCATGCGTGTGTGCATCAGACAACCCAATGACCCCTTTCAATCGCCAACCTCTGTCAGTCGGTGATACGCCCTTCAGCTATGAATTCTACCTGTGAAATACAAAGTAGGCACTTTGGCCCACAACCTCTAAGGTATTTAGGCTCTTCCAACATAAGTTAGGACCCTCAATATCTTTGGGGACCTGGCCCTTTGTCCACCAAGCTACAAGCCCCTTCTTGCCTGCCATGGGATTTTGCAGGTGTTAAAGTAGCTACAGCAGGGTTCTTGCTCTCTTGCACTGTAACAGACACATATTAAGAGTGAAACATTAACTTGTAAAAAATAATACAAGAGCTCGACCAAAGTCCTCTGGGTCTCTGTCATAGTCAGTTAACAGGTCCTAGCCCAGGGGATCTCCAGCTTTTTCCAGCCTCCCACTTTGCATAACAGACATCTCCTCATGGACGTACCTCATTCCCAACCATTCAGCCTCCCCCCGCTTGGTTCTCAACATGCTGAACTGAGTGGATAACAAGGTTGTCTGCATAGCCACTGGAGAGCCATTGCTGTGAGGGTTAAATCGCTCAGCTGTGCTCTTCGCTTTTGCAATACTTAAGAATTATTTTTGTGCTGTTTGCTTGTTATATAAGAAAAAGCCAAACAGGAGGATGTTTAAACCAAGCCTGTTCCCTTGTTCATAGCGAGATCTCTGGGAATGCAAAGCACCAGACAGTCTTCAACCCAAGACAGAGTTTCCATAAACGTGAGCTACAAGTGTCCCTGTAATGGTGAAAGGCCCCATATTCTATCACCAGGCTCCCCACAGAATTCACTGTTAGAATATTGTGTCTATCATTCATTCCCCCCCACTCCCCTCGACACACACTCCTGGTCAGTTTCTCAAGCAGAGATGAAAGGTCATGGTGGATCTCACCTGAATTTCTCATACTCCAGCATCACACATGGCCCTCGATCCAGCTGCCACGTCCCATGCACTTCCCACCTCCCGAAGCGCCTGATATCCACGAAGCAGAGGGCTCGGTGTGGGCTCTCTTTGGTGTAAAACCGAAGATGGGCGTGTTTGGGCAGCTCGGCCCCGGAAGCGAGCTTGAAGCTGCCTGACATTCCAAAGCGGAAGACAATATCCATGGGCTGCTGGAGACCATTCTGGCTCAGCCCCTCCCTGTCCTTCCCTCTGCCAGGGAGCGTGTTCTTCTCCTCTTTGAGTGGCGTCAGGGTCAGCTTGATCTCCTTGCCCCGTGAGGTGGCAGAGATCAGGTACGCGTCGCTCTCAAACAGCACCTCTGGGTTCTTGCTCACTTCAGACTTCTCCACCTTCCCCGAGAAGATGAGCCCTGCACATACCGTGTTGATGTAGCAGCTGGCCAGGTGCAGCTCTGGGCCCTCTGGCATCTTAGACACCTGCCCAAATGAAGGGAAGACCCAGGCATAAGGCAGAGCAGCTACTGTAGCACGTGCATCTTACCAATCAGGGCGGGCAGCTCTCTCTGTCCCTGGCTTTGCTGGGCCCTCCTGGCCTGTGAACATGGACCCAACGGCAGGTGTGCAGGGGACAACTGCAAGGCTGAGCCAGTGGACAAGGATACCATTGAGGATGGGTATTAGCAGGGCCGGCTCCAGGGTTTTGGCCGCCCCAAGCAGCAAAACAAAAACAAAAAAAAAAGTCGCGATCGTGATCTGCGGCGGCAATTCGGCGGGAGGTCCTTTGCTCTGAGCAGGAGTGAGGGACCGTCCGCCGAATTGCTGCCAAACAGCTGGACGTGCCGCCCCTCTCCGAAGTGGCCGCCCCAAGCACCTGCTTGGTAAGCTGGTGCCTGGAACCGGCCCTGGGAATTAGGGACCACGTGGCCATGGGCTGAGCCACCAACCCCTTCCATGAGGAGCCAGTGCACAGCCAGGAGATGGGCACCACCAAGCTGGCCGGGACCAGGAACGGAGATGGGCCCTGGGTCCCCATGAGACAGGAAGCTCCCCTCAGGAGCCCCTGTACAGGGCCAGCTTCCCCCCCCAGCCAGTGTTCCCCCCCCCCCCCCCAGCCCCCCCCCCCCCCAGCCTCCCCCGGCAGAGGGCCAGTTGCCCCCCCCCCACCTGCCGCCCCCCCGAGAACAGGGCCGGATCCCCCCTCCAGCCAGTGCCCCGGCACAGGGCCAACTTCCCCCCGAGTACAGGGCCAGCTTCTCCCCCCCCAGTCTGTCCCGAGTACAGGGCCGGCTCCCCCCCAGCCAGTTTCCCCTTGTAACGCTCCCGCCCGGGTTTGCAGCGGGGCTGGAGCAGTTACACAACCAGGCACCGCAGCAGGCCGGCTCCGCAGTCCCCGCCCACAACCCCAGCACAGGGCCAGCTCCCCCCCGTCCCCCCAACCTGTCCCCCCCGCTCCGGGTCCCCCAAAGCCTGTCCCAGCACAGAACCGGCCGACAGACCCCGCCGCGTACCTGAGTTCCCGCTCGCACTGTTCGCCGGCAGCCGGAGGGTTAAACAGCCCCTCGGCTGGGAGGGGCGGGGCAGCGCGGGGCACGATGGGAGTTGTAGTTCCACAGGGGAGCATCAGCCTACAGGGTGGGGAGTGGGAGGTCTCCAGCCCCGCGTGGCTGCCTGGGAGGGGCTCAGGGACACGGGCAGGGAATGGAATTCTCCCCCTCCTCCTCCCTGTGTCTTGTATTCTATGGCTGGCTGGGGAAAGGCACCGCACAGGCCCTCACCCCCAACCATCTACTACACGGACACCCCTACACCCCACCGTCCTGCACTCACCCAGAGCACCTACCACACAGACACCCCCGCATCACATCATCCTGCACACAGAGCAGCTACCACATGGACACCCCTACATCCTGTGCCCACCCAGAGTAGCTACCACACGGACACCCCTGCACCCCACTGTCCTGTGCCCACCCAGAGCAGATACCACATGGACACCCCTACACCCCATCATCCTGCACCCACACCCAACCATCTGCTGCACGGACACCTCTGCATCCCACTGTCCTGCACCCACCTAAAGCAGCTACCACCTCAGCAGCAATGCTGCCGGCTTCCCCGTGCGGATGGGTCACCTCCCTGCCCCGCAGTTAGATTTACCAGAGCCTGCCTGCGGAGCAGTTATTCATAACCTACTTGCTGGGCACAATGTCACAACATGCCCGAGCTTCACTCATAGAGATGATCCCTCTCTCCTCTTCCCTCCCCAGCACCATCTAATTTTGCCTCCAGCAGTAGCTTCAGAGACCGACAGAATGAAGCACACTGATGTGTGGTAGCTGTTGTAACATTTACTTTATCTTCTACCTCCCAAGCTACTCTTATCCATGTATAACACTAAGGTAAATCTTACCAAGCCATTTGCCACAATATCTTACAGCAGGCAGTTCCACTGGTTAGTTACCTGTTGTGTAACCTAGGCAGTGTGGCTGAGGTGACAGACCTCTGGACTAGGACTCAGAACTGGTTTCCAGTCCCAGCTCTGCTGCTGGCTGACCTTGGGCAAGTCACTTCCTGCCCACTGCCTCAGTTTCCCCACCTGTAAATTAGGAATAATGATACTGACCACCTTTTTAAAGTGTGTTGAGATTTACTTCTGAAAGTGTGATAGAAGAGTTAGGTATTATTATTAAACTATTGTTTGTACCATTTTAATTGTATTGCCTTTCAATTCAATGGAGCACGGCCTTGTTCTTAAAAAGACAGGGCTGCCCTGGTCTTTTGCTGTTTAGCAGCAATTTACCAAATTATTTCAGAGTCTGCAGTTAAAATGGTTTCCCACTTCACTGCCTTCAGGCTGTGCTGGCTTTGCTCTAAAGGAGCAACTGCATCATCCCCAAGCTGTGAAGTGCCTGTAAATCAGAGCTCTGAGCTATAGCCGGGAAAGGGGGTTAGCACAACAGGGCACCAGTGGCAGGGGCCAATCTAAACTGAGCACAGCTTAAATGAAGTTAGCAAAACCCAACTGGTCCCTCGATGGCTGTTACCAGAGCTGTGCCTGGGGCAAGGGCTGGACTAGCCAGGGTTGTTACAAGACAAGGCTGGGGTGAGTGAATAGTTTACGGACTTTGCCTATCCTGGCTCTGGTTTCTGCAGAGGT